ATGGGTGGGAAAACAAATAATCGCAGAAGTATTATTTGTGATCATCAGCCAAAAAGATTTGGCTCGTGCACATTCTCAGTGTCTTTTGTGTCACGTCCAAGACAAAGATTCGCTATAGAGTCTTCCCTCCCTGGTTGCTGTCTTGAGCGATGAAATCCTGTAGGCATGTAAACTTGCTCGGAATCCTCTTGTATATTAATCTGTGCAAAATTATTGAGGGAAAAAAATAAATGAAGTTTTAGTAACAAAACATGTACTTCTGGCAGCGACTACAAACACAACAAGGACGAATTGGCTCTTGATAGCCATCCTAAACAAATCCCTGACGGTTGGTCCATTTTGGTTTGAGACTTGGACCTACGTCTCCAAAACCATATCTCCAAAGAGTCTAGCCAAACGCTAAAAGAGATTTCCAGTTTCAACCTGACTGATGTTGTGGACAGAAATGCACATGCGCCCAAAGTGTGATTCACATGTTCTGCTCCTCTCAGCGTCCTTTAGAGAAACCCGATGGCCTGGACGTTTCTGACCAGAGCAAGGAACACCCGCAACATCTGTGCGAGAAGTGTAAAGTCCTGGGCTACTACTGCCGCCGCGTGCAATAAGGAGGATCCCGAGGTCGTCTCCACCCTTTTCCATCACTTCGCTACCAAGAACTCCAAGAAAAAGTGAAAAGTGCCAAAATATTCATGTAAATATCTCTAACGCTAGTAACGGCTTTGTGTATCAGCAGCATGTGATGCATTTATTGTGTATAATGGACAAATGAATATGGTTGGGACAGTATTTCTATCCGTACGGGACGCAGTGGATTACCTCACCATTGTGTCTCCTGATTGTGTGTTTACAGACTCTCCCTTCATTCTCCCTGCCAAGTGAACTATAAGGATGTGCCGAGCACTAAAGGTGTCACGTTAGCTTGCTCAGACAAGGGCCCAGTGTGCCTTTGCAGAGTTTTTGGGTCAATAGCACATCATATTAACTGTGAATTAACAGAGGGACAATGGACTTTCCATCCCTTGCTTTTGTGTCACATATTTATTTATGTTTGTATATGGTTTCGTAGTGCAATTGAATTAAGTAAACTGGGATAATTTCATCTGTGTTTGTATCTGAACAGGTATTGTCTAACCCCACCTCTTGCCATTAGAAACTACTGTAGAATAGAACTTTCTAGTGCTTCGGATTAGCGCGTCAGGTAGTTTATATCTTTCACATACATGTTTGAAATGCCAAATGTGAGATATTTTTGTCAAGTTGGCTAAGGTCAGCCCTGGAGGCACCCATAACATTTGAATTGAGTTGTTGGAAACTATGCAAAACCATTGCAGCTTATGCAGAATCATCAGTTCCTTTACATTGTTGCGCAGTCAAATGAAGTGTGTGAATGATCGAAACAAAGCCATGGCTAGCTGATCGTCACCGTCCTTTGAAATGTGATTATGTTGTCAATTGTTGCCAGAGAACTGCTTCAAATGTCTTACAAACCCATGTAAAGCTGAGGTGTTTTGGTACAGGGGTCAAAATGTGAGCTTTTCAGTCCATGTGCTAGCATTTAAAAACATAACGCCTGTTCTTCACTGAGATATTTGCCTCAGGATAAAGAGTTTTAATGACACATCTCAGATGAAATACTGTGCACGTGTTTTATATAAACACTGCTCTAGAAAATGTCATTAATTAATTTCACTATTATGCAACACATTCATTTTTAAATCCAAAATGAGTCATTCACATCCTTCACTCTTAAAAATAAAGGTTACAAGATTTTTTTCCACAACAATGCTATAAAAGAACCATTTTGGGTTCACAGAAGAACCTTACAGTGAACCGTTTGTTTGAACCATTTTTTTCTTAGTGTGAAGAACATTTTAATAACCTAAAGAACCTTTATTTTTAAGTGTTCAATCTGACCCTTGCACTAAAATGTTTCATTTAAGAAATTCGCCGCTGTTTACACAATCATTCTGATCGTATTTCAGTCAGAATTAAATCCTTTATTGCCTAACCCCATATCTGCAAGTTTATGCATTATCTACAAACGTACCTGATGAATTACACCCTGTTTAAACTGTGATTTTCTGGAAGCATTTTTTATGTGAGTGGACAAATATATGGTTGTAAATGGAAAAGAAGGACAAAGTAAGTAATGCAGAAGAGTTTTTTTGAGATGTAATGAGAAAACACTTTGGGTACATTTAATTGATCAGGAGACATTTGGAGAGAGATGTATTATTGAGAGCATTATGATGGGAGGGTGTTAATATTTGGATGGAAATAAGCGTGTACAGGATCTCATCTATGTGCTGTTACCTCTTGTTATGGCTCACACAAAGTACTAATTGATCATATTTGAGTGTGACCCAGGATCATTGAACAATAATTGTAGCTTTACGTGTCCCAGTGGGAAGTCGTAGACAGATATTGTGAGAAATTACATTATTGCGTTGTTAATCCTAGATGTACATATGAAGTTACACGCATTTACATGGTAAATACAATGTGTATAATTGTTTACTTATATTTGGAGTCCACATATTTTCTGTTGAATATTAGTTAATGTTTCATTTATTGGGATAAACTCAGATGAAGATATGAATCGGGAACGTCTAGTGCCTTAACACAGTTTGGTTATGAAAAGTCAGGATTTTTGCCAAGGAATGCCATGTATGATGCTGAGGAATAAAAGAGCCCATTAGATGTCTGAAAATGTAAACCAGCTAATTTTACTTTAGTTAAAAAAAATGGGTTTGAGTTTCTGATGGGAAATTCAGGGAGTATAAACTGCCAGGGAGTCAATCATTAGATCACTGTTAAATAAAAAACAAGGCTGTTTCTGTGAGTCGCTATCATTTTTTCTGAGACCCTTTATTTCTTGGTAACTGTTTTTCTGGTGTTGCTAATGGCTTCGTTGTGCGTACATTCTTACACGCCAAGGTTTACTTCAGGCTTCATTTAGGCTGGAATGAGTTACTCTGCTTTTTGATAAACACCATAATTAATGGCGTAATGAAAATAACCAGTGAAATAAACGATTACTGAGGATTCATCATAATCATTGCTGATCACCCATAGCTGGTAGTCTACACATAGTGATCTTTGGGATCAATTAAATTTATTGTCAGTTCTGTACATTTTAACAGATGACTGAATGCACCACTAGATCTAGGCCTTGCTTTATTATAGCAAAATAGTTGCATTGCACTATATACATGACGAAAATGAAAACAGCCCTGAGTTTTGTTAATGTTGAAGGCAGATTTATGTAACTGAGCTTCCCGATTTCTGCTTTATTGAATGAAAGACAGAGCTTGTGGTATTGACAGTGTACATGCATTTAACATTATACAAAGTGCTTTTTGCGCATGTGTTTTTGTCTTGAAATACATATACTTGACTTTTATAGCTCACTTTCAGTATAAACTTATTTTCAATTAAAGGTATGTGTATTTTGGAAACAATGTAGATGATTTAGATTTTGGAGCAATTTGATATCCAAACAAGATTTTGTTGTTCTCCCTTACAAAGATACTAGTATGTGTTTTGTGTATATATTCGATTACCATCAAGTTAGCGATTTCAAAATGTTATGATGCAATATTAAAACTTTGTATGTGAAAAAGGGCAAAATGCTGAGATGCAAAAGAGCTGGGAGTTTTTTTTCTTTCCTTTGATGTTTTACAATAATCTTTGGTTATATCCTACAGAAATATTTATGGAAGGATTTTGTTCTTTTTTTTAACAATTAAATTCTTTTTGTATAAAATATGCAACAGAAGCTACTCTATGAAGAAAATATTGATGACTACATAGAATATTATTCAAAAGTTGGTACATAATTATTATGCCCTTACAAGCCATTTTATTTTTGTTATTTTAGATGTTATTGGTATATAGTAACCTTACCTGTTACGAGCATACGTGTGCTTCAACGTTGTTCATAATCTTTGTGTCTGCTATACAGCATGAATGTTTTGATTTGCATTTATAGGAAACCTTCTAACATCACAAACAGCTGTTTTTAACATAACAGACTGATTCGCACTGTAAGTCATAGGGCCTTTTTACTGAGGTGTTTTATAGACGCAAAACAGTGGCAAAAAGACGTGACCAACTCCAGTCATTGACCATAACACTGAATTGCCCGTACAAACCTTTTACATGGTCGACATGTGTTAGTGAATCAAGCCCATACTGTATGAAACTGTGAGCTCTAGTTAGCCTTCTCCAGTTACTGCCAAGTCCAGGAATGATGTTGAAATATTTTTCTTCATATGTAAAAAAAAAAAAACCGAGACTATTTTTCAAACAAGTGAAGTTTGCATGTGCATGTTTTTTAAATGATTCAAGATTGATAATTTGTGCAATGTATTCTTATTTAATATTAATACATGTTTAATTCTTGCCATGATATCTTTTGTAGAATACACCTCTCTTACTGTTAGTCATAAATAAATGCCTCTATTTACTCCTAGGATTTCCAGTACCATTAATAGATTTACTGAATGTACTGATTTAACACTCATGTTTGTAATGTCTGTAAAATATTTGTCATCATATTGGAGTGGACCGAGCAACAGAAAGTGCTAATGAGGGAATGTGGGACGAGATGAAATCTGTTGCTCTGTGTCCATGAAACGGCATTCCGATATGTGCCTTATTTGTTAGTTAGGAAAACTGAAGACTGTGCTTTTAGAAGTTTGTTCGATTAAAACATTGACTAAGTGAATCATGACTCTGCTTCGTTTTTGTGTAATAGCACACAATGATATACATTTCTGTACAATCTGTGCCAAATATATGTACAGCCTGTTTTTGGATTTCAACATGTTCTTTGGCCCGTGTCTGGGTGTTGGGAAATTGTGTCCGTTTTAAATCAGTCAAGCTGAAGGCAGTATGGACTGATTAATTATTTAGATATGGTCCTTGGGAATGATGCTTGTGTAATTGAAAACCATAGTCTAAAGCCTTGGGGAACAGTTGTCATTCTGACATCACATTCATTTACTATCGAATAGCCCAAAGAGCGTTTCTTTTAGTTCAGCGTTCACCTTGTTTTTGCAACAGCGCAGGTTTGAAGACACAGATGTGTATTTTTTAACTCAACCTAATTACTTGTAATGATTGTAAACACATGAGCACTGTATGTGAACGTTAGGACTTGGCGATGACGCTGGCTTTACTCTTGAAGCCAACTTTAAGTAATTGGTCTACACATTCCAAATCTCTTAAACTTCACTAGAGGGTGGAGGCCCAAATTATATCAAGTTTGTTGCAACGTCTTAAACAGAATGGGAATGAGAATGTCTCTATAGCAACATTGCAATCGGAGAAGTCAAACAAACCAGTGGTGAGTTCAGACCCCATATGGTTTCATTTAGGAAAGAGCACTGGTTTCCACAAAGGTTCATAATTTACTTTCATAAGGCATTACTGTGATTAGCTACATCTACACACCGTCTAAAATGGACTGCTCATTTTCATTTCAGGGTATGTGTATGTCAGCTGGCTGCAGTAATAATGGAATACATCTGACAAACTCGTTATTCCCAACTGTCTCCACAACTATTGTATGAACATGTTCAGAAGATTCTTGCTGAAAGTTTAACGTTGGAAGTGGAGAATCTTCATAGCCAAACAGGATGTCATATTCTGCTTTAGGTGGGCAGGAAATCTTGTCGCTGGATAGTCTAAAAAAAGGTTTGGGATCATTCTCAGGAAGATTAAAAAGCATGCCACGCAACCAGATATACTGCTGCAGTTGTAGCCGGCCCTCATCTGGAAAACAGCCTTGAGTCATTAAAAAATAAAAAAAATAATAAAAAAAATGAGCACAGAATGCAAATATCCTGGAAGAAATTCCATGTCAAAACCAGTTTCATGTGTAATTTATTTATTTAAAAAAACCTCCTGGGGTTTCTTTGGCATGGTTCTTATAAAGTAAACTAGCTTTTATCCTAATTTAAAAAAAAAAAAAAAAAAAAAAACAGTATAAATTTCCTTATGGCCCATGGCATTTGACCCATAAGCAAGATTTGTTGTGTAGGGGTAAGTAATCACCATACTTACTGAATCATTTGCTTACCTAGTAAGCATAAAACACCTTAATGGATCCATAGACAGACACATTAAAATGGCAATAGGTACTTAGGTAACATAAATGTAAAAAAAAAAAAGAATATTTACTTTACATGCATAAGCATTTTTGATGTGAAAACGTTTGATCACATTAAAATGAATACACATTCTTGGTTACTTGAGTTCTCCACAGTCTGTGATGACAATCTTCTTTACAGTTCCTCCATCATGTAGGCCACAGGACTCCATTAAAGAGACCGTCTCCATTCCCTCTTTGACCTGCCCAAAAACAACGTGTTTACCATCAAGCCTGAAAGAGAATGACAGGAACATCAATCCCATAAAAAAATTAAAACACTTGGGATGGGTAATAATTAAACCAATAACCTTTCCACCATCATACCATTCTGTTCTTGCAGTGCAGATGAAAAACTGGGATCCATTTGTGTTTGGCCCAGAGTTTGCCATAGACAGAACACCTTTAGGAGAAAGAGACAGAGAGGAAATCAGACCACCTCCTGAGTTTTTATAGGCAAATTTGTCACTTTTAATAATTTAATGATATAGTGATTCAGGGAAAATCTAACAATCAACAGTTCCACAATAACAACCAGAGAATAAAAAATAAATAAATAAAATAAAAGTTTGAAAAGTGGCAGGGGGGTACTGAATGAAAGACAACATCTGGGTTGGGTAAGTTACGGCTCTCTACTACAATTACATCCAGTCATATATTACACAACCCAACACTGTTTGCCCATATTAATCTATCAAAAGGGTTTGCTGGTGTAGGATCCCCCTGGCACCAAAAATGCACTAGGATAGGCTGGCTTTGACTTGCTTAGAAAGTAGGTCATTTGTTTGAAGATTACAAAAGCGGTTTCTGCAACTGAGGGAGCCTTACTACCACCTTGTGGCTGTAAACAGATGCAGTTTTTGCAGAAAAAAATTTTTTTTAGAAAAATAATTGTGCAGAATTGTGCTCCTTCCTGCAAAAAAAAAAAAAAAAAAAAATATC